GAAGAATTAAGTAACGTCCCTTATTTTTATCTGTGTGTAATTAACTTATTAACTGTTAATTGATACATAAACTTTAGACGTAATATTTTTGTTGCTATTTTTTGGTTATCATACTTTTTGGTCCACCACAATTATTTGGTGAGCCCTAGTATTTGATTATCTCATATTTATCCCATTGTTATACTGTTTATTCGCTTATTGTACGACTCACTACCTCATTTTTAACTTAATGTACTCTCCACCTAAGCTTAGCGATATGGACCCTGTTCCAGTAACAACTCTTAGTTCATCATCAAACCTTACTGACAATATGTTTAGTACAGTCAATGCCATTTGTGAATTTAGACTTCCACCATATGGAGCAAATAATCCTAGAGTCTGGTTTGCTCAAATAGAAGCCTTATTCCAGTCCAGGGGCATACGTTCCTAAGCATCCAAGTATGCTTACGTAGCGGGCTCACTCCCTCGATTACCACGTAGCGTCAGACAAATTCTAAGTGCCCTGGGGAAATCTTCCTCCCTTGATGATTTAGCTGATATGGCAGATAAGGTAACGGAAGTTTGCCATGATAATCACTACATAAACACGATGCAGCCGTACGGAGCAGCAGACGTCGGCTATTTAAATTCTATCCAAAGACAATTGTCTCAACTAACGAACCAACTTGCGTCACTTCAAACCACAGTTGCAACAGTTCAAGCTAGACAGCTTGGACCTTCTTTTAGACGAAGATCCTCATCTAGACGACGTTCACGTGCACATAAGAAGAGCTCTGATGTATGTTGGTACCATAACAAATACGGAGATAAAGCACGTCGCTGTACTCGGCCGTGTACATTTTCTTCAACTTACACGATGAATCAGGGGAACGGCCCGGCCAGGCAGTAACGGCGGTGCCTGTTTCTGGCATCATCACAAGCCGTCTCTTCTTCATCCGGGATGGTATTTCTGGCTCAGACTTTTTAGTCGATACAGGAGCAGAAATCAGCATTCTCCCGTTGTATCTCTCGACGACGGCACTCAAAGCCTGCTAAGTTATCCCTTGTTGCGGCAAACAACTCCATTATCAAAACGTACGGTGAGCAGTCACTCATACTAGACCTCGGCCTTCGTAGGAGATTTACATGGGTTTTCACAGTAGCTCAAGTTAAACAACCCATCCTCGGAGCTGAGTTCCTCAGTGCTCACAACTTATTAGTTGACATGCGAAAAAAGAAACTCATCGACAAAAACACAAAGTTACAAGTCACCGGCATAATTTCTTCTGACTTTGAAATCTATGGTGTCCGTATTCAAAAACCTGAAAGTAAAATCTTTACTGATATTTTATCGCAGTACGAGTGCATCACAAGAGTCGATTATCAAAATGAATGCACCGTTCATCATGTGCAACACCATATTACTACCACTGGTCAACCTACACGTGCAAAACCCAGGAGACTACCACCTCACAAGTTAGCGATTGCAAAACGAGAGTTTGAACACATGATGCAACTAGGCATCATTAGGCAGTCTAGCAGTCCCTGGGCTTCCCCGCTTCATATGGTTCCAAAAAAAGAACAAGATTAGCGCCCATGCGGTGATTACTGTCGTTTGAATAGTCAGACTATCCCAGATAGATATCCCATCCCGCGTTTACACGATTTTTCCTTAAACCTACATGGAAAGCAAGTTTTTTCGAAGTTAGATCTTGTACGGGCATATCACCAAATTCCGATGGCACCTGAAGATATCGAGAAAACGGCCATCATCACGCCCTTTGGTCTGTTTGAATTCTTAAGGATTCAATTTTTATCGACGATTTTTACCCAATTGTGCCGATGTTCTACAGCCCTTAACAGACCTACTTAAAAATGATAAATCGAGTAGCAAAAAGAAGAAGAACCAACTATTCCAGTTACCCTCTGACGCCAAAACGGCATTCGAAAAGACCAAAACCTTGATCGCCGACGCTACTATGCTACAACACCTAAACACTGACCAGTGTTGTAGCATAGTAGCGTCGGCGATCAAGGTTTTGGCTTTTTCGAATGCCGTTTTGGCGTCAGAGGGAAACTGGAATAGTTGGTTCTTCTTCTTTTTGCTACTCGATTTATCATTTTTAAGAAGGTCTGTTAAGGGCTGTAGAACATCGGCACAATTGGGTAAAAATCGTCGATAAAAATTGAATCCTTAAGAATTCAAACAGACCAAAGGGCGTGATGATGGCCGTTTTCTCGATATCTTCAGGTGCCATCGGAATTTGGTGATATGCCCGTACAAGATCTAACTTCGAAAAAACTTACTTTCCATGTAGGTTTAAGGAAAAATCGTGTAAACGCGGGATGGGAACGTATGCCCCTGGACTGGAATAAGGCTTCTATTTGAGCAAACCAGACTCTAGGATTATTTGCTCCATATGGTGGAAGTCTAAATTCACAAATGGCATTGACTGTACTAAACATATTGTCAGTAAGGTTTGATGATGAACTAAGAGTTGTTACTGGAACAGGGTCCATATCGCTAAGCTTAGGTGGAGAGTACATTAAGTTAAAAATGAGGTAGTGAGTCGTACAATAAGCGAATAAACAGTATAACAATGGGATAAATATGAGATAATCAAATACTAGGGCTCACCAAATAATTGTGGTGGACCAAAAAGTATGATAACCAAAAAATAGCAACAAAAATATTACGTCTAAAGTTTATGTATCAATTAACAGTTAATAAGTTAATTACACACAGATAAAAATAAGGGACGTTACTTAATTCTTCAGGCTATTGCGCGTTCAGCTGAATTTGGTCCAGATAATCCACAATTATAAAAGATTAGTAATCCCAATATGGACGATATAGATCCAGTAGGTTTACCAAGCGTAAGATTCAATAAGAATGTCACGATTGTCTATAAACGGAGATGGTATGCAATTAATATTTCATTTAACATATTAGCAAACACGGCAGAACGATGCAGATGTGAGTTAGAGTGTATTTATTGGGGAGCAGTAACAATGTCGCGATATGTTGTACTCAAAACGGAAGGAAGTCAAATTACAAGTGTTCAAAGTAATACACTTAAACAACAAGTACAATTGTTTAATGCTGAATGTACAGAATATGAAAATACACAAAATACATGCGAAAACTATGAAAACTTATTTACAAAATAGGTTTTATGGTCCTATCTCCACAAGAGCAGCTGGTTCGGATGGATTGGCTCCAGAGGTCTTTAAATATGTTTGTTCAATTTTAGCGATTAGGTTAACTAATATTTTGGCTGAAATCTGAGTGTTGGATATAATCCCATCTGACTAGTCATGATCACTTATTGTCCCAATATATAAGAATTGGCCAAAATTATCCTGTGATAACCATAGAGGGATTAGTCTGACTAAAATACTTACCTCAATAATTTTCGGACGCCTAACTAAGAATCATGAACTGCAAACACGAGAAAATCAGGCTGGCTTCAGACCTGGTCGTGGCTGCATCAATCACATATTCACTATTCGTCAGGTTTTAGAGCACAGACATGTTTATCGGCGTCCGACAATGATAGTTTTTTCAATTTGAGAACAGCATTCTACTCTGTAGACCGAGAGGTTCTGTGGCAGTGTCTGTCATTGAAAGGTTTACTTTGGATGTACACAAACCTTGTGAAGGCTACTCATTCGAAGTAGTCGGACGCGTCGACAACTTCACTTATCTTGGAAGTCTGATCAGCCCTAATGGGTTGGTGTCTGACGAAATCTCAGCACGGATTCAAAAAGCTCGTTTAGCTTTTGCCAACTCACGTCACCTATGGCGAAGACGAGATATCTGTCTATCAATTAAGGGACGAGTAGACTGCGCAGCAGTTCGCTCTGTTCTACTTTACGGCTGTGAAACATGGCAATAAAGAGTAGAAGATGCCACAGATGTCTTAGAAATATTGCTCGCATCTGCTGGGATCACCGGGTAAGTAATAGTGAGGTTAGACACAGGGTATTAGGGAATGATGGTAAATCAGTTGATGAGGTCATGAATCTTCATCGACTGAGATGGTTGGGCCACGTGTTACGTATGCCTGAACACCGATTACCACGACGCGCTGTGCTGACTAGTGTAGGGTATGGTTGGAAGAAAGTTAGGAGCAGCCAAACCAAAACGTGGCATCAGTGCTTGAAGTCACTAACTTTTAGTCTGAGCCATGTTAGCAGATGCAGACTACTTGGTTGGGGTCCGCGTGACTATCGTAACCAATGGTTGGAGACTCTAGGTGACGTGGCTCAGAATCGATCACAATGGCGTCGGTGTATATACTCTTTATCTTCCCTTAAACCTTGAGATTAGAATTGCTTCATATCTGTCTTTCTTCATGTACTTTATCCTTATATGCGATCTTTCTTTTATATGTTACTACCATTGAAGTAACTACTTTTGTGAATTTGGTGTCAATCTTGTTTTGCTAATGATGTGTGACGACTTGAACCGATGCATATATGTGCCTGGTCCTACATTGTAGCTGACTGACTGACTGAAAGAATATCTTTTCTCGACTAATAGAATATCAATTCGAGTTGTAACACTTGTCACTAATCGAAACGAAGAAGTATGAGAGTGATCCAGTTCTTCACAATATTTCGATCATCAACCGGAAACTTCTTGGATAATTGTTACCTCCTGATCTGGTTACACTGAAATATGTTAATTATTGAATTTTAAAGCATCTGGTAGTCACTGATGTGTCCTCTAAAACATTTGGATTTTTTTGGATTTTAATTTCATCGAAAATTAAAAGTATGTGATGTTCAGCATAAAATATAATTGAAGTCAATTGTTTATTTTATTTAACTAATCCTAAACTAATATCAGTTTTTTGAAAGTTACCATCAAATTGATAAAATTCTTGAAATCACTCTGTAGTAACTTTCAAAGTCTACTAACAAAATATAACTTTTTCTATGTAATAATAATGCTTGATGTCTTTATTATATATTAACATCCAGTTGAATTTTATGAATTTTTTTTAATTTTACAGGAGTATGTTGCATAATATCAGCTTTACTTCTTACTGTTTATCTGCGTTCGCGAACCATTGATACTGTAAATGAAATCAATTTTAAGACTATACCAACTAAAAATTTTAATCCTTCTAAAGTAACAATATCTAACCAATTATTGGGGAAGCATCTCAATTCAGATATAAAACACAAACGCTGTGATGATACTTGTCAAAGTTTAATGTCCACTTCAAAATTGGTTCAAAACACTTATGATACAAGTAATCAAGAAAGGTGTTGTAATAAAAGTGAGATCATGTTATTACTTTAATCAGTCCATTGAAATTCCTCTTAAATTTTCTGTTACGATACAAAAAAAACTTGATCATAGAAATTTTGTGTAAGTTATGAATAGTTGTTCATTTGGAATTTACTAATTTACAAATATCGATCTTAATTTTTAAGAGTATGGATTAGAAAATCTTTTGCGAAAATCACAAAATTTGCACTTGTTATTTTGTGTATGGGAAGAGAGTTTTAGGATACTGTACCATGCTACTTTGTCAGTAGTATTGAAGTGCTTGGTTTTTAGTATAAATCTATGACTTGATAATTAATAAGCATTTATTTTGTTTACTTTAAAGTTCTAATGTAACATTTCAATCACTCTAAAGTAAGTCAAACTATTATATACATCAAATGAATACCTTTATCACCATAATAATCACTAACTAGTTCTGAATACATTTCATATTTATGTTAGCCTAGTGTTCTCTAATTTTTCATAATTACTCCAGAAAGTTATTGAAACATTGTGTCAACAGAGCCAAGAAATGGAGATTCTTCCAATAAATAATTAGATTGGATTTGCTATCTGAGTAGCATGGGAATCAGGAAACTTATAGGGTTAAATTTGACCTCATAAGACATGAATTATTGTAATCAGGGCAAAATTAACTGTATTTAGTCTTATTCACATCCATTCCAGGTATAATTTGATATCTGATAATTTAGTGGAAATAAATACGTTCCTCACAATACATGACTTATTGGCCTAAACACCTCGTACCTTGACGGGTAATTTTTGCTGGTGTAGAAGAGGACTGCAAGAAAGGTAAGAACACACAAACCAAGACATATTATTAATCAACAAAGTCATTGACTGTTCATCTGAATCATGTTGATAGTATAGTCAACAAGAACAGAGGTGGGGACAACCAAGTGTATTTGGACACGCAATTACGGAATTTCTTAATAAAATCTGACAACCATACAGTAAATAATTCATCTGCAAGATTTTAATCAGTTGTCTCAGACTTGGTTGTTCTTTCGTTTCCACACCAATCATTTTCTGTTCTCGTTCTTTCCTCTTCGATCTTTTTAATCTTCTGCCTCTAGGCATTTCACTTTCAATTGGTGATACATTCTACTTATATATGTCGACATCAGTAGTACACACCACAATAGATGCAGACTACCTGGTTAGCATCTACGTGATAACCGCTATCAGTGATGGGAGACTTAGGGTGAAATAGTTCAGGATTTTTCACAATGGTGCAGATGCATTCATTCCTTACCTTCCTCTCGATTTTGAACTCCACTATCCCCCTATATGTGTCTATTCTCTGTGTCCTTTTGAACCATGTTCTTGATGTTCAGTCTTTCTTGTTATAATTGCTGCTTTATAATTCAATCCATTGATGTTCCTCTTGTTATTTTCATCTCGTCGTCCCAATGGGGCGTAACAACTTGGGCCAAAGTACATCTTTGCCAGGCCCTGTTTTGGTAATGACTGACTAAGCAACTCTTTAACGAAGTAAAGCATATAAATGTATTAAGCTAATTTCTATGATTGCCTCTTAAAATCCATATGCATCAGTTAAACACAAGATTTTTTTTATTTCTTTATTGTCCAAATCAGTAACCCAGATCAATTTCTTGTGGCCACTTTTAATCCACACATTTCAGCCTAACAGCCAACCTAACATTTAGTGGTTGAAAATCGATTTCCTCACTTGGAGCAGTGGCTCAGTGGTCCATTCACTTAGTCATGGGTTCAAATCCGTTTCCATCTGAATCGATTTATGTGACCAAGGAGTATCAAAACTCACCTGTGTTTTTTTTTCTAGAAACAAGCAATTATAAGTAGGTTTACAATGGAACCGTAACTTTATGCTTTCAGGAATCAGTTGACTGAATAGTGGTTCAAATACACTTGACTGCCAAATGTAACTTTTTCATACTTAAATTTTGCTTTATGTAGTTTGGTCCAGCAGTCAAATCATATCACAAATCCTCACATAGAAAAGTATAACTTTAGACTAAGTACACCAATTTATACTTACTGAACCGTCTAAAAAATTTCATAGTTAAATACTGAGTCAGTAAATCATATTTTGAGAGTTCTTTGACAACCAAACTAAGTTGATTATCTCACGTGTTTTAAATTATCAACATCCGGTTTTTTACATTTTAGAAACTAACCGATTATCTAACAACTGTCAAGATAAAGATTTTACTGAAAATGACGATAAAGGCGTGACAATCCAACCCAATAAAGTGAATATTACCAATCAAATATCAAAATTGTTTCGTACTTTAAGCCTAAAACAACGTTTATTGTTGGGTTCCTCTGCTGGTGTTCACATGTGTGCTACATTTTTACGTTATGCAATCGGCGATTGGCTTGGAATTATGCTTTTAAATAATAAACATGTTTACTCACAAAATACTGGTTTGTTCATATTTGATTTTTTTGCCGTTTCATTCATCAGTTATGTTGGTGAAATAAACTTAGATTAATTTTATTTAACATAAATCTTCATAACATTTCCAACTTTCTAGCGATTATAATTTTTCCTCAGTACTTATGCTATTACTTACACAGTCTAGAATTTGATCTACACTGATTTTCATCAAATAATGCTATAGTTTGATCAGAAATGAACGATTGATAACTTGGACTAGATATCACGGTTGTAGCTTGATCCTTGCTACAGAAGAGTGACTGCAATTAATGAATACCCGCAACTGCTCTTCAACACTGTTCTCCCAATACCCATGACTGTGTTCAACTATTAAGAAGGCAATACCTAACCTATGGAGAATATATATTCAAGAAACATATCACTATTTGTTGTTTCTGTTTCCGATAATTATTGATTACATTTACGCAATTATAGTCGAAAACCGAGTGAACTACACATAACAAAAGTTATCAGAATACAATCGAATATCTTATTAAAATAATAACTGAATTTATCTAAATTTAATCAATAGTCTTACTCTTGATCTCTTCTCATAAATTAGTATGAACATCTCAAACTCCTAGGAGGAGCTAGTCTCTCCGTTCATAACTCAGTAGTAATGTTATGACTATGATATTGACTGGCTACTGTGGTTTAAATCTAACAGCAAGTGTTGATTTGTTCGAGGTTCAACTGCAAACTTTGGCAGTATTTCAGTTCAGTTTTAGAACTGAATGTTTAGCTATACCTATAAAGTGAAATAAGAAGAAATTACTGATGTATGACAAAAAATAATAAAATTATCTGGATACAAAAGATGATAATGGTAAACTGTCATATAAGTGTAGTACATCATAGTTTGAGACTAATCCAGCAATATTTTTACAACCAATAGCTATTTGGATTGTGATGTATAATTAGAAATCAGTGCATTTTCTTCCTTCATTAAACTTTATCAAAATCTCCTAACGAAATTTAGCGTAAGAAACCCGTGGACTGTATTGATTGTGTTCGGTTATGTTTCGGAATATATCTAGATGCTATATACTTGAGTTATAGTTTCATGGTATAGACGTTGAATTTACAATTATTATGTCACATTCTCAATTCACATAATTGATCCTCTAAATCCTCTCGTTTCCATACAAGAGTGATGATTCACTGTTTAGTATCATGAACTTATGCTTAATTTTATTGTTGCATATCCAGTTGATGATGTTAACCAAAACTAAACGTTTACAAGGTTCTCAAACAAACCACAGAAGTTTATAATTCAGCAAATACTGTTTCATAAATGTTACTAAATTAAAAAAATGAAAATATTTCGGATGATGTTTAGTTTCTTCATTTAATGAAAGTAATTGTTATATATTTCAGTTGAAAAGAACTTGTATCAGTTAAAAAATTTACACCAGTGTCTTACTTCTCCAAAAAACACATTTATTTTCACTTATTCCTTTCAGCTTACTTAGTTGCCAGTAGTTACGAATTCGGTGGGATAGTTGGGTCTACGTTAGTTGGAATAGTAGCTGACTTGAAAATGATTTCTGTAAGTTACAATCAGATTGTTTGCTTGATGAATAGCTGGATATTGTTTGTATTATTCGAACCCGTGCTTTTTATGATCATTGTTTATTAAGACAATTAATTTAGGATATATTCTATAGTCAAACGGTCCACAATCAGATGATTTCTAGACTTATATGTTTGTTTGGATTATGTTAAAATAGTCTTTTCAGTTTTATCAGGTTTTCCGTTAGTTGGTAGAGATTCATCGTATTGTTTGTCTCAAGTTAGAAAAACGGTGACCACCTACCGCAACCTTGCGCAGACCACAACCTATTTCCGGCTAGCACTACCTAACAGCACAGTCATCGCCCATGTACCACCTGGCGTTTTTCCTCCGCATCTCGAACCTGGACTCAGATTGGTCACATTGCGATCAGTTACTGCTGACATGGTTGTGTACAAGACTGCCATTCCTTTTGAAGTATCTATCTGGACTCTGGTCATGCCCTTGTTTACGTTAATCTTACGTTTTAGTGGCCAACAAATTCATCGTCCCAAACGGATCGATGTCGGCAAATTGGTTGCAGCTTCTGTTGCAAATAAATTTCAGACTGAACTAGGTTCAAGGCTAGCTACCATCCACCGAAAAGTATAGGTGAGCATTAATTGCAATTGCATAACGCCATGAAAATGGTAAGTAAAGTTGCTTGCGGCTTCGGGAAACGTCCCACTTATAGGTACAGGGTTTCTACAGGCTCATTTCAAATCATTGAAGCACGTTGGTCTACTCTGTGTGACTGCGAGTTTGATCATAAGCGAAGACTGTTCCGTAATGAAGTTGTGTAAAGCTTGCGTAAAGACCGAGAGGCCTGGTGGTCGGAGCGTGCCACTGAGTTGGAAACAGCAGTTGCATCTGGTAACTTCTGGAAGCTCTCTCAACTCATTCGAGTCACTAGCAGTAAGAAGTCTGATGTGATCAAAACAATCTGTAGAGATGGCGGGATGCCAATCACTAAAATCTATCGACATCCTGGACTATGGACAGTGTTTTTTGAGGAGCAGTTCAACTGGTCTGCTGTCCCGGCAACATCGATCAGACAGTCCTGCTCTCCATGACCTGTGACTACTGATCCACCAAATGAGGCGGAAGTCCTCAAGGAGCTCCAACTCTTGGAGCGCTACAAACACCAGGCCCAGATGACCTACCCTCGGTCCTTTGTAAAGTTGGTGGTGGCTTTCTGGTTAGGTAACTGACCAAGTTATTTGAGAAGATATGGCAATTAGGGAGTGTTCCAACATCATGGAATGAGTTGACAGTTGTTACTATCCTTAAAAAGGGTTCATGTCGTTTCTGTAACAACTGTCGGGGATCAAGTCTACTTTCGATTGCGTCCAAACTATTGGCCTACAACATACCTCGTAGTTTGTTCAAAATTCAAGAAAGATTGACTCGAGAAGAGTAGGTTGATTTTCTTTTTGGTCGAGTACGTATTGATAATATCTTCATCCTCCGCCAAATTTTAGAAAACCGTGATACTTATCACAGGCCAACAATCGTAGTGTCTCGTGACATTAGGGCTGTCTTCGATTTGTTGGACAGGACTGTTCTCTGGGATTGTCTATTGAAGAAGGATGTGCCTGAGAAGTTTATCAATATCTTGAAAGTTCTATATTCAAACACCTCAGGCAGAATGAGGGCATATAACCAGCTCTCTCCACTGTTCCATTCGAGCAGTGGAGTTAGACAGGGTTGTCCAATCTCACCATTCCTCTTCAACTTTGCCATTGATGACGTTCTGGGAATATCACTGGTGGATGCAGGTAATGATGATGTGGATCTGTTACCTGGAGAAAGACGTTTCGACATTGAGTATGCGGATGATATTGTCTTACTGTGCGGTGGTATTCAAGCCATGCAATCCGCACTTAATCAGTTGGCAATCAGTGTCCGTAGGTACGGTATGTACTTTGCACCTTCAAAGTGAAAATTACTCCTAAAAGACTGGTAGGATTCTTTTTCTTTACTCACCTTCCGTGGTGAGCAGATTGAAATAGTTGAGGAGTTCGTGTATCTAGGTAGCTGCGTAAATGCTAGTGACGGTGTGAGTGATGAGATCGATTCACGTATAGTGAAAGCCAGAGAGGCTTATGCCTATCTGGGCCATCCTTGGCGCCTTTGTGATTTTATTCTGGTTGTAAATGGTCGGATCTACAACGCATCAGTAAGAGCGGTTTCGCTCTATGTCTGTGAAACGTGGCTTCTTTGAGTTGAAGATGCTAAACGACTCTGTGTTTGATCGTCGTTGTCTCTGAAGGATTGCTGATATCCAGTGGCAACACCATGTTAGTTATACAGAGGTTCGACATCGTGTGTTTGGGCACAGTGGCGATAATTCAAATAGTGTCACTATCTCGAAACATCGACTTCGATGGCTTGGACATATCCTAAGAATGTCGTCCTAGAGAATTTCACGTTGTGTATTATATGCCGACGCTGGGACCGATTGGGAAAGAAGAAGAGGTGGTCAGTGTATGACATGGTGTTGTAGTGTGAAAGAAAGATGTTCGGGACTGACTCTTGTTGATCCTTCACGACTCCCTGTTTGAGTTCCTAGAGTTGGTGGCTTGAAACGTTATCAGACATGGCTCAGAATAGAAGCCAGTGGTGATCCCGCTGTAACTTTCTTTCATTTTCTTCATTAAATTTAATGTATCTTCTTCTGCTTGTACTTTTAATAACTGAACTGCCTCTCATATCATTATTATTATTTCAGTTTCATACACCAATTTCTGTTCGTTATTGTTCCTCTTTTTCTTATACGTACCTTACATTCTCTACCTCTTCACATTCTCATTGTTATTGTGTGGCGCATATATATTTAGTGCCCCTTCGTACCAATATTTATGTGTTCAAATAAATAAATAAAAATTTGGCCGAAAAACAGGTATTTAAGATATGAATAATCAAAGAGAGACTAATCACGTTTTTTTCAAATTGATTAACCTTAATTCGTTTTTTAAACAACGGATATTCCCGATTATAACATTAATCAAGCATACGATATCAGTAAAATTGGTAGGAAGATAGATCGTAGTACACTAGTTTGTATTTGGTGGCTAAACGTTTAAATTGTCTTTTTAATTTCTTACCTAAAATTCTACATTGAAATACGCTTCAAAGGAAACGAATAGAGGCAAATTAATATCAAAATTCATAATTTAGAGGTGACTGAAGTATCTATCTGACTGTGAACTGATGTCACTTAAAATTTCCAACTGCCTGTTATAGTTGTCTCATTAGATGTCAACTAGGGAGCCTGCACTTTTCTACACAACTCATACGAGGAGTCAATAACTTTCTCAGTTGATGTCATATCTTGGTTTGGTCGACTATAACTTATTTTTCAATCTATCCCTTCTCTCGTTAACATATTGTTTAAATAGACCATCGAGAGTACGTATACAGTATAATTCTCAACCACCTCATTCGTTAAAGCTTCACAATGGGATTTATCAGTTTATAATATATGCTTATATTACCTTGGGTTTAATCTCAATAAAGCTCATTTGGTCGCTCCATCACATTCAACCTATACTCCATGATTTCGTCGAAAAGAAGACTTTCTTCATTAAATCCTCTTTATTTTCACTCAACGAAATTAAGTTGTTTTGTTTCTCTTATTGCTCACCATTGTGAAAAAACTCTGTACGATATTGAAATGAAGAATTATGAAACAGTTAGGACCCGTAGAATCTGTTACATAAGATATGTTCAAAAAAATTTCACTATTCTTATAACTCCTGTTCTTATCTGAACTCAAATAATATCTCGACTGTCACATACTAGCTTTAATTTCTAATTACTACTGATAAACCAACTCAGTAACATGATATTTACAACCTCATCGAGGACTTTTATATGCACCAACATGTGCTCATCTGATATACAGGTATCTTTTATTAAATGACTTTACGTCGTAAATTGTTTGTTTTTCAGCTCTCATGTTGTTTCCATGACAACATCCATTGTAAAATATTTCCAAGTCATTGGATTTATTTACTAAAGGACTATCCCCATCTTTCTTAAATACATTTTGGTTGACTTAAGTATTACTTTCATAGTGTTATCGTCAAATGAAGATCAATATCTGTTACATATATTAAAGAAGAAATTCAATAGCCCAGAATTCATTGACCCTTTGTCCCAACAAAACTAAGTTAAAGTGAGGTGTGTGAATATGTTTTCAAAAAAGTAAACGGTTAACTAAAGTCAGTACTTTACGTTTCAACATATTATTACTACTATTCATATTTTTTTGCTTCCGCTAGAGGTGTGACTTAATACAATAAATCATTTTGATCACTACTTGTCTGTGACTGTGACCGTAAATACTGTAATCCATCTCAACATAAATCAAATTTTATATAACGGGATGGTTAACCGATGGTTAGAGACCTTGAATGGCATGACTCAAAATCGTTTGCAATGGCGAAGATGCATCCACACTTTGTGTTCTACCAAATTCTAATCTTCTGAATTCCTCATGTCTTTATCTTTTTCTCTTTCCAAATTTATTTCACTGTACTATACTCCTTCAATAATTTCTTCAAACCCTAATCTTTTGGATTTCTGATTATACTCCTACTACTTCTACCACTATGGGATTTGAATCGACGACTGCATCTCTGTGCTAATGTGGTATGGCAACTCGAACTGATGTACGTACGTACGAAGTTCTACGTTGTGACTGACTGACTGACTGATAACGGGATGCCGTTTCTCATAACATTTCTCCTTTATAAGTAAAATAGTTGGCAACTGCTAAAGTTATACCTATTGAATTAACTTGGGAAACTTTAAATCCAGTCGACTATCTTGTTCAGTTAGTTATTCATGCAATCTATACATATGCGTATACCATCAGTACAGAATATTGAAACATTTCAAAATAATATTCGTTGATTCCTAACTAATAAAATCTATACTTTCTGTCATAATAAGTGGTTTACGTTGTAATCAATGTTTAAATGTGGATTGGGTTTTGGTTCTACACAAGTTTTTCCTTTTAGCACTTACATAAGTGTTCAGTATAGCTTTGTTATATCATATGCATTTGTTCATCCTACACTACCACATGATTACAAATAAAATGATTTGAAAAGTCACCATTCTCTCGACACTATGTGTATCATGTATTTTCAACTTGGCTTAAACAGTTTTTCTGTCTCTATTAGCCGGAATAGGCTGAAAATTCTAAAAGATATTCAAAACTTCTTTTTTGTCCCACTAACTAATTATGAGCTCTTTTAAGCTTATAATTCTTTAATCTCATCAATCCTCGTTAGGCGTTCTGAACTCTGTCAAATGAATCAGTAACCAATGACTTGACGAATTATTTTCATACCTTGATTTGAGGACCCATGGCTATTACCTAGCATAATCACACTTCTTCCAGCGCTACATGTCGTAGAAAATGATAACATAATGTATTTCACATTACTACATAAAGTTAATCAAACAAGACTGAAACATATTATGTAAGTCAGATGACAATATCCTGAATACTTATTCAATCAATCGTTTAGTGCGACTCAATAAATTGTCATTCATTATCATCGTTCTCTTATTTTTCCTCAACAGTATCATATCTATTGCAAAATTATTCACCGCCAACAAACTTCGTATTAAACATCTATTTGTATTATTTTTTCGCTAAACAATTAATAAACTCCTGTTCTCTCTAAACGTATTGTGAATTGATATGTGGTTAATGATTACTTATTTTATTATGTTTAATTATATAATGATAATAACATGTTCCGAAAACTAGTACAGAAAGGTAGTCAATTGACAAGCATAATCAGGTTGATACAAGTTTCTAGCTAACAATGATGATAAACTTAAGTTTATGCTTTCCGAAAAGATGAGGTTTCTAGGTTACTTCCAAATGAGCATTTTGGACAAAATTTGAAATAATAAAATATGTGTATTGAAAATCTAGTTAATAAGTGTAATATGTCAATCATATTGAATTCAACATTGAATTTCTTAGTTGATTTTTTGTTCTTTAATCTGTTTATCACCTTATTAATTCACATACTGTGTTGTGTTTTGGCCTTAGAGAATTTCTTCATGGCCAAGACGTCGGATTCTATTAATAATTATACAAATGTTAATTGCTAGTGGTACATTAATGTGTCTGAGTTGGATTACCAACCATAATGCTTCTTTAGTAAGTGTGAATTTAATTTTTTATTCCTTTTCCTTATACTCATGTTCGTAGTATAGAAAAGTATCATGCATAATTCATCAAGTGCAGTTTCATTGGTGTATCTGACTTTAAGTCTTTTAGGACTTGTCAAAATTATCAGTATAGGGTTATGGAGATTGTTGAGTTTCACTGAAATCATGAGCCCATCGATGTAAACCACCATTGAAAACCAGAAAGCAACAGACGGCCGTTTCTTCTTAGCATGGGAATCTTCAGCAGTCGACTTCGACTCCGCACACGGGAATCGAACCCAGGACCTTCTATCTTGCGCGCGAACGCTTAACCCCTAGACCACTGAGCCAGAATCTGACGTTGTCAATGTCTCACTTCATTCAATCCACGATATTTCCAGAATATATATATATATGCTCTATTAGTTACGGGTTGTGGAATTGCAGTGATTAATGGAATGGTTAGCAATCATGGGCTATGCATGTCAATTTACATTAGATTTCATTTTACAATCTGTTTAAAGTAGGATCGTGTTTAAAAACGTAAAGGTGAATTTTTCAAAAATTATCTGCCATCTCTTACAATCTGCATGACTAAAATTATTAATATAAATTTTTTAACTTCTTTTATAAAGTAATAATAGGAGTACGAATATCAAATCTTTTCCATTTGTTTCTCACTGTTTCTACCTCAGTTATATTGTTTAGAGGTTAAATTACCTGTCTCTAAAAATTATTTCAGCAATCATGTTTCATATTACCTTCCTTATCAAATCTTTGGAATTTGATAGTACCTGTGTTACATCGCTTTCTAATAAAAAGCTATCATCCGTACTAAGACTTCAAGAGCGATTCTTAGTGTAGATCACTATCTAAATTTATCTGACAACCACTGATTGTCCTATCATGGGACCTATCAGCAATGCGCACCCGTTCCCCTTCAAGAATTGAGCTTTAGGTCTCGCCCTGGGAGCCAAACTTTCAGATCGCTAAGTTGAAATCTAATTATTCATATTTCTAATTTCAATTAATTCATGATATTGCACGACCATCATTCATTTCCATTACTGACACACATCTCACTCACGATATGATTCAATTACGTTAATCACAACTACCCTGTACAACTCCGGGAAGTCCTGTTAAGTTTACTCATCAGTGAGCCCAAGATCAGTGAAAGATTGCATAAATTGAACAATTTACGGTATTTATTAACATATTTATCAAAGTTTATTCATTTATGAAAACCATTAGATAATGTTATTAAATTTTCTCTTTAACATTTTCACTTTAGACTATACTCCTCATTATCAGCTTGATACTTGGTATTACTGTTATCGGGACAATTGCTTTATGTGGTGTTCTAGCTGTTGAACTTGCTCCACCTGCTTTTAGCGGTACTGCACATGCGTTGAGTGCTTTGACTGCGAATTGTGAGTGATTATTTTTAAATAATTTCTTTAGATGTGAATCAATAATGCAGGTCAAGAAAAAAATAAATCTTTGGTAAATGTTTTTTCAAGCATTTACTTAATAGTTTTGAATCTAACCACTTAAACGGAAGTAGATTAATTGCGAATTCAATCAGCAACTTTTCAGTTGAATATTAAACGCTTTCACGATTAATCTAATGCCTATTCCTTCTTTTGGTTATTTATTTGCCTTTGGAAAGTACAGGAATCAATAGAAACTGTGTTGGTTTCTCAAGCAATATCTTTTTTTGTTATTCAAAATCACCTGAAGTATATTTCTTCTGTTTCAAATATGATCGATTTGAAAATGGTTATTTCACTTTATTAATTATATTTTCACTTTACAGGCAACCAGGAACAGGCTATCACCCACACACATTTAACAGTACTCAAAATCACCTCAAATCACTAATTACACTAGGGTTTTTATTTTATTTTGTAATTCAACCACATGAGCAAATTACTTACTTACCTACGACTGTTACCCCTCGTGTAGAAGCATAGGCCACCCACCAGCATTTTCCATCAAACTCTGTCCTTGGCAATTCTTTTCAGTTGCTATTTGTCCTTTTCATGTCTGCTCCCAGTTCCCGGCTTAGAGTGTTCTTTGGTCCTCCTCTTTTCCGTTTCCCTTCAGAATTCCAAGTTAGGGCTTTCTTCATGATGCAGTTTGATGATTCCCCCAATGTATATCCTATCCGCCTCCAAGATCTCTTCCTGATTTCCTCCTTCACTGGAAGTTGGTTTGTTCTCTCCCACAGTAGGTTGTTGCTCATGGTATCCAACCAACGGACGTTTTGTATCTTACGTAGACAGTTGTTTATAAATACCTGTACCTTTTTGATGATTGCTGTGGTAGTTCTCGAAGTTTCAGCTCCGTACAGGAGAACTGTCTTGACGTTCGTATTGAAGATTCTGAGTTTGATGTTGGTTTTCAGACATTTGTTTTGAGTTCCTTATGTAGTTCAACCGTAGGAATGCTGTCCTTTGCTATTCGTTGCCTTTATATATACATCAGATCCTCTTTGTTCATCAATGATGCTGCCCCGATAGATACGTGAAAGATTGCACCTGTTCCAGAGCTTCTCCGTCAAGTGTGATTGGGTTGGTGTTCGCCATGTTGTATTTGATGATCTTGTTTTTTCCGTTGTGTATGTTGAGGCCCACCGATGCAGGATTAGCAAACTAATGTAAACTAAACCCTGTTCGTATGTATGGTGGAATAGTAATTCCTCAGAAATTAGAGAAAGCTTTTTCACTTTAAACCAAAGGTTCTCATATAGGAAAAGTTTTTCATCTAATCAAAATGAACTTTTTAGAATTCATACTTTCCCTTGATAAATTCCCTACACACAATTTCTTGTTTTGTTGTGTATTTATTCTACTTAGGAAATCCAAAATAAGATGAAGTAGTTGTTCAGGGCTCATCGGTTCTCAATTATTTCTTTGCTAATATCAGTTTATGATAAAAAATTAACTTTACACTGGGTTATCCTGACTAAGCCCTCACTTAAATTAGTTGTTTAATGTTCAAGAAGTCCTTCAGAAATGTTGTGGGAAATTAATCACTTCATGTTTTGAGTGTTGACTGTCTTTTGATTTATTTCTAGTTTTCCTGACAGATTAATTGGGCTAACAGATGATTTTTCTAAAGAGTTATTCTACTTTGTGGACTTTACTATTTTATATTTTTTCAATAATTTATTCCCAGTTCTATATTTTATCATGCGCCACTTAATGTAACCCTACAAGGTTACATTTATCAGTGGACAACATCAATGTATTAAATACATTATTAAATCAAGATTACTATCATTATATTTCAGTTGGTGCTATCTTGGCTGGTTACCCATTTGCTCTATTGGCTGAATATATCAACTGGTCTGGTGCCTTTCTTGTTGCTGGGATAGTATGCGGACTCTCAGTTATCCCACTTTCATTTTTTTGAGGTTTCCGACTAATTTGTTCTCCTACTAATGTAGATTATTTCACAACAGTTTCTAGATAATATACACTCGTTTTGTTTCATTTCTCACAATTGTTGACATAACAATTTGAATATCAGATGAATTTTAACTTACACAGTTGTGTAGTTTCTTGTTTCTATACCTATTTTGCATTTCATAGAGTTATAAAACTATCCTGTTTTTCCGAATCATATTTTTTGTCAATGTGAGTGTGTACACTTTATTTTCACTCAAATTCAAACAAACAATGACTTGATAAGTTAATATTTATTAACCACCGAATATTTCGATACTCTTAAAAGTAGGTATTTCATCTCCATTGTTTAGTTAAAATACTGTTTCCGACCAACACCATTATTTGGTTTCAATATTCCTAAAGAAATCCTGAGTTACTACCGCTTACTACTATGTATGTTGTAGTAGTAAACTTATCACAAAATCAAGGATTACATCGTCTATAAAACCTAGGGGGTGGATACATCAGGGTGGTAAACACTTACGGATAAAGATCGAATGTATCTGACCTTAGATTCTTCGGTTAATCACTTGAGATGATTCCTCATTCGTTCTAAGGAAGTCTGTTAATTAATGATTAGGAGCAGGAAAAACACTATAAGACATAGTATTTCATTGGGATAGGACGAAAATGTAGACAGAAAAGACTACAGTAAACTGACTGGTGAGTTCGGAAGTCAGGTTTTGAAAAGTTTGCAGACGAGGAATAATTTATTTAAAATCTTGACAGAATTTTTAGGGTCTTGTGTTTTGAAGTAATAAAGATAATAATAAGGAGATGAATATAGAAGGTTAGATCTACTAAATTGTTGATCCTGTACTAAATAGCTCTGGATTAGGAATAGCTGAAGCCTGGTACTAGACGACTTCGGTAACCCTGGTATTCACAGAACAGATTTGCCCTCGACTAGGTTTCTATGGTACATTAACCGACAGGTTCCTTTTAATTTCAATGGGGTATGTTTTGTGGTGTCGGTTGATATGTTAAGCCCATATACCTTATTGTAGCTTCTGGACAAGCCAACCTATCCATCTTGAGTGACGTTTTGACCTTGTTAATTATTAACTTGTCAACCCTGAGTTTTTATATGAGCGTATGTGTGTGTACACTTCTTATTCTATTCATCACATGTCCGTAACTTATTTTTTATTTGACTATGTCGATTAACGCTAGATTAAATGAAGTTGACTTACCCGCCATCTGCAATGGGTATTATTTTTTATTCGTTCTCTTCTGTTCGCTTCATCCCTCTGATTTCATGTCCAAATCAATTGGTATACAGAATATATGTATTCGAAATCCATTCTCGTACTTGACTTATTTAATTCCGTTATATACCAAAGCGAGTGACTTTAATGCTCAATTAGGCAGCTTAAATCAAACAAAAAGACATTTAGGTGGGTGTATTAGTATTCCGGCTCAACGAACCGATAATGGTGATCGTCTGTTGTAACTATGCTCAGACAATCGTTTAATTTTAGCAAACAGTAATTTTAAACATAAGGAGAGACATTGTCTAACATGGCGACCACCTGCACCAAACCAACGATGGACCCAAATAGACCATATTGTCATCAGTCATCGTTGGAGAGGCTCAATAGAAGACTGTCGCTCGTATTGGAATACTTGTTTAGACTCTGATCACGCTTTAATACGAGCGCGCATTTGTCTGTGCCTCAATGGACGCAGGAAAAGTACACTAAGAAGACCCATTAGGATTGAACTGGAGGACGAGAAAGCCAAATGCGAATTCCAGAAACGACTGAGTTCACATCTAGGCAATTCTGTAAACGAGACTGACCCAGATACTGCTTGGAAAGACATACGAACAGCAGTAACAGCTATTAGTCATTTGAACCATAGGGCTCCAAAAAAAACCAGTGGATTTCTTCTAAGTCTATTTCACTAATGTATCGCGTAAACTCATCCCATCAGGCTCTGAATACGACGAAGAGCGTAAACAAATTAGATCTAGGTTAACTAAAGGTCTAAGGAATGATCGTGAGCAGTGGTGGGCAACGAAAGCAAAAGAGATGGAAAAGGCAGCGGCTGTAGGGAACATCAGGCAACTATTCAGACTAATAAAAGAAACCGGAATTAAGAAGTCAAGTGTAAGTGAGACAATCTCCGAAAAAGACGGAACCCTTATCTGCTCTCAACCCAAACGTTTAGAACGATGGGCGGAACACTTTAAGGAGCAGTTCAAGTACTGCAGCCTAACGTGATCTGGTACACCGAGCCAATATACTGTGAGTCTGTTCCATTTTTGAGTATTATTATTCATTGTTATTCTTTATTTGAATTTTATATATTGTGATATACTGTTTTTTCGCGAATTTTTTCCCGGATATATTTTAATTAGACATTTTTCGCTATCTATAATACTATGACGGAACACTCACCCAAGGTTTTTAAGTTAAAGTCTATTCCCCCTATTTCGATTCAGTTAACGCCATTTTGGCCCGACAATATCAAGTCCTGGTTCTGCTACGCAGAAGCTGATTTTTGCATGCACGGAATCACGGACTCACGCACACGATTCCTCGTGGTAGTTAAGGCGTTACCGCGCGAGTTTAACAGGTACGTAACACCTAGTATGTTTACTAGTGATGTTTCGTAACCTTACGAAACTCTCAAATATTCGATTCTTAAACGTGGAGACCTAACCGACCGACAACGGTTAGACCAATTCCTGCATAACATCGACTTGCAACATGGTTCGGCGGCTGAAATGTTGCTAAGAATGAGAGAGGTTATCGGCCAACGAACTTTCGATGATGGCCTATTCAGACAACTTTTCTTGTCTAAACTTCCTCATCAGGTGCAGGGAGTGCTCGTTTCATTTCAAAACAACGTCATAGATGAGCTGTCTGCATCTGCCGACCGAATCTTACAAATCACTAACTCTTCTAAGGCCGAGGTCTTTTCCGTCATAGAAAAACCTTAAACGACCCCAAATGACATTACCGAACTATGTCATACACTGATACGCTATCTTGGGTTTCGTAATGACCGTAGTCGGTCAAAATCCCCACATAGGAGCGTTTCACGTAAGCGATCTGTCTCTCGATCACGAGAGACAGACAACCCCGACTGGTGCTGGTATCACAACCAGTACGGTAAATCCTCTAGAAAATGCAGGAAGCCCTACAATTACCCGATGTCTAAGGCGAATGACACGAATAAGATTTGGAGAAAATGAACTGATATTTACAGAAGGAACAGTGAAGAATGAGACAATTCGTTGTTATTTTGCAAAATGACTGTTCATTGTATGGTTATCAGAATTTAGTGAGATAGTCTGTTATTTTTGCTTAAATACATTCGATTGTCCCAACTTATGTTTTGTTAACTGCAATGACATTAACCTCAGGCCTAATAAGATACCGAGTCTTTGATTATGGACATCATTCCGCGGCCACTCACGATGCTTTTCAACATGATCATTTCCAGCACTCCAATTCCTAGAAATTTGAATGATGTTATATTAACTCAGTATTTAAATATGGAAGGGTAAATAACAAGTTCAACTTCTAACCTTTCAATCTAACCAGGATAGTAGTTATGTCGCTCAAAAAAAAAGTTGGTAAGAGACTTCCCCTGAAGCCGAAGATGGAGAACGAATGTAAAATAAACCATATCTGAATAGAAGTCAGTCAAAAGTAATGTATCGCATGACTATATTTTAGTTTCCCTACTTTTCCTCTACGTCAATGAATCACTGTGACTGCTTGTGTTGTCAACATTATTGTTTGCAGACAATGTCAAAAGTCAAGGAACTTTAAGTGGCTGAGTTGTTCACCTTTATTTTCAAGGTGTCCTTAAAAAATTAGTTAAGTTGTCACATTGTTCAGGCTTAGACATTAATTCCAGTAAGAGTGTGGTGTAGTGTAGTGCTTCGTTAATCGATCGTCTCGATAACCGTTATTATATCAATCTGAACGGTGTATAATGTCAGAAGACAAAGGGAAGTGACAACTACATTTTTATTGACAAATAACAGGCTAGATAGCAGTGAGCACATGAGCAAATGTTAGCGAGCGAAGAAAAAGTAACATACATAGGAGATGGCTGGTAAGCCAACTCGTTATAAGCAAGCATTAATCAACATTTATAGTCAGACTAAAATGAATGACAGACTGTGATAGGTAGGATAAGAAGGGTGCATACACATACGCTCATATAAAAAAATAGTCAAGGTCAATAAGGGAATAATTAACAAAATCAAAATGTGACTCATAACGTTATAGGTGAATTGGCTTGTCCAGAAACTAGAATAAGCTATGTAGGTGTGATATATTACACGTCGTTACACTACTCCCCACAGTGGTCTCCTATATCGGGCGCAGTAATAGTTATCAGTATGCCATCAACGGCTGATCGCTTCCAAGTGCGCAGGAACACAAAGACTGAGTAGAAATACTAATTCTTAACTTGAAAACAACTAACGTTACAATTCGAAAGTCACCAAAGATTTTCGAGCGTTAACGTCACTTCCCCGAGCTTGCAAATGCTCTGAAATTTTCCGAGGTTTATATCTCACTTATGTAAGACCACACCTAGAATACTGAATTCAGGCAGCCAGTCTATGTCTTTGGAAAATACTAACTTACTTGAGCGTATTCAGCTTGTGGGAAATAGTGAGTGAAATATCTTTATAACTTCTTTAAGATGAGCTCTCAAAACGCCTGGTCATTTTCCCCGTATCCTATCGTAGAACGTGAAGTGAACTTAAATTGAAACTTCGTGTCTTTCATAGGGATTTAAGTGCTATTATAACTGATCTTTCCCCCCATTAGCATTTCTAACCTTCCAAGCTATATCTCAGGGATTCAGGAACAGCGATCTAATAAACTTTCATCAAGTGGTTAATGACTGAAACGCCTTGCCAAAATTAAGAATTTCAGCTCCGTAAGTGAATATTTTCATGTAGAATGTGAATATCTACTGAAAATGAGCCGTAAGAATTCATACAAATCCACTGACCTGCTATCCTTTCTACTCTATACTGAGGATTAGTGATTGAAAGCGGTAATTTCGAGTGCTGCGCTACTTCGTGACGTGTTTGTTTTATTTCAAGCTATGGTGAGAGTTTTGGTGTAGCGCAGTTCCTATTTGACGCCAATATTTAAGGACACAAGCTCTAGGAATTATTCCTATGATGATAGTTGGTAGATGGCCCTTTATTATCTCGGACATTATCCTACACATGGTCGCCAAAAGAACAAATAAAGGAGAAATAACGACAAACAAAGAGGAAAATGCATTAAAAAATAAGGGGGAATAAGGGTGAAATGCACCAAAATGTATGCTTTTGCACATGCTCGGCGGAAATAGTGCGGATTTTCTCCTTTATATCGCTTACTGTTTCCAATGTCCCTCATTTGTCAACTTTTCGCCTGAATATACGCCAAATTGTTTACCTTTCGCCTAAATGTACATCAAATCGCCTACTGTTCTTATAAACGTTCGCGTATATATACGCCTTTATTGTTAATTTTCTAAATGGACGTCGGGTTGTCTACTTTTCGCCTGTATGCACACCGATCCACGTAGTTTTGCATCCACTCTTAAAGCATTTTTGGTATGACCCTAAACATCTCCTGTGTTCTTCTTCATTCTCACAACACGCCACACTGAAACTGAAATGTACGCAAAATATGGTGCATGTTCAAAAAAATTATCGAAAGCAAAATGCGTATTGTTGTGCAACGTTATGAGTAGTTGACAGATGCTAGAGCATCAGTCGTCATATTTTATTTGTAATTGTCAGGTGCCAGTATCAGCGATCCGTTCTAATACTAGCCGTAAATATTGACTAGAGCTCCTTCAAATACAAAGTTCATCTACATTAACATACAACTCTAAAGTATCAAAGTCACAAGTACACAACCGAAGTTCAACATATCTTAGCAGATAAGTTTTCAATCCCAGATTGTAGTAAACCCCGCTGCTGATGAACTTTGGTTGGACACTTATGCATGTCCTCAGGACATTTCTGATGCTAGTCTGGAAGCGTCCAGAACTTTTCTTCCAAAGTAGTTGATTTAGTGTTAATTTCCTATACTCATTAAAAATGAAACTGAATGTAGGTTGATTTTTCTCCTCACCATAGCTTCATTCTTCTATGTATGCATCAACATTTAAGTAGTTCAATAAAACGATGCTAATAATATGAGTCCATAACTCTCCTTCATTAAATTAGCACTAAAATTAGCAAAGAAGTCAGCGTGTCTCCTGCTTTTTCTCATTTTACCGTGTCTCTGTGTTATGACAAGTCAGATATCTGGTTCGCTTGTGTTTTCTAAGAATAATGGTTATGTATTTTTTGGCGACTTATACATGTAAGTCTATTCTTAATATATGAGATTTGTTCCTTTGACAACTGTTTCAGGTTAACGTTATGTGGATATGATCAAAAGTATAGAATCCGCTTATCCCAATATGTGTGTACTGATTCGGTTTCTAAATATGTAACTTATATCTTTTAAGATGCTTAGTTGTAAATATAAAATCCTTAAATCCATTGAAGTCGATTCCCAACGAACGTGAACATATACTTTCGTAAGCTTTTAAACTGAAACCAGCAAAGTGATTCCGATGTTAGCCAACTGTAGCATTATATGTCTCATTTATGTACGTATATTGCACATCAAATTAATTTTAACACTATCACAAAATCGTACATTAACAGATAATTGTTTTCATTCGATTGTTGATTTAGGTTTCTGGCATTCAAACTGTTGATACTAACCATGAAGATATGATAGTAAGCTTTTTATATTTCAAATACTGTCGAATTTTTAGCATGATGCTCAGTTGGACTACTATGGAACAACTCTAGCAACAGCCTCGTCTGACCATTCAGTTAAAATATTTGATGTCCGTAACAAGAAACAAGTTCTTATAGCTCATTTACAAGAGTATGTTTTAAGCGATTTCGCGTTAATATTACCATAAATTTTTGAATGTATTTCAACATGATTAGAGATATTACCATCATCCCAAAATATTTACTAAATTCCTTATTTTATATTTTTTCTTGTAGTCTTACTGTAGCCTTATCTAGATGAATAAATTTCACCTTGTAGGTCGTCATAAAAAGTGTTCCCAGTCATAGGATTATAGATTTTTAAAAATTATCTATGCTAGCAGCTTCGGTTCTGTTTCTTGGGCAGTATTTCAGCTCGTAAACAAATGTCATTAGAATAATTAAGAAACTACTTTATTCCCTCTGCTTAGCTACCTACTCAAACGATACATTGACTAATACTCAGTTTAGTAATCAGTTTATTTTATTTTTTTGACCTATTCTGTTTTCTTTACATTTCGCTCATAGTCTTAAGCTCTGGGTTTATGTGAGTTCTTTACAACTTATCGGAGAATAGTGGTCTCCAGTTTAACAGTACATGTAGATTCCTATGTCAGATTTCACGAAGCCTGCGCGAGGAATAAAAAACCTAGTCTTCAGAGCGCGGTGATAAGTTGGACGGAACTATAGAAAATGCTTCAGCTTTGTTTATTTTTGTTTATTTATTTAAACACATAGACATTGGTGCAAGCCCCCAAATGCCCTGGTACGGCCGAGAGTGGGGAGAGTCCGCTCTCCCTCTCGAAATGCTCTCACATGGCCAGCGAATTTATAGCCTCTGCCAGGGAAATCCTACTCACTGCCTTCTCGTGGTGGGGGTGTTGTTTACGAAGTTGGTAGGACGAAAAGCGAATGTCCTGCGCTTTAACCGGGTTGGTGGACACGGTAAGTTTACCTAGGGAGTTGAAAAACCCTGATTCCAAATCAATGGTGCAGATGGGCTCCAGTATCCTGATGGAATGAATGGCGGACGAACCTGTCATTGGTCACCGGCTACCATGGGACTGCATCTCCTTACGATGCTCCACTGCCTTGTGGATCAGATCTTTCGGTCAAAGGCTCGGGGTGTGGTCCCCTAAGAAAACCACCTGCTTCGGTTTGGGCACCTGTGCAGTATCACAGCCCTCAAGCAAATTGAATGAGATTTGTATGGCGCATATGTATCTGGTGCTTCCTTGTACCAATATTTGTATGTTTAAATAGATAAATAAATAAACATTGGTGCAAGGAGGTGCCGAATACATATGCACCACACAAATCATTTGTCTTATATGAGGGATGGAATACTCCCCGGGTGCGCAAACCGAAGTAGGTAGTTTTATTAGGTGATCAGTCCCCGAGCCTTTGACCTGAAGGTCTAATCCACAAGGCAGTAAAGCAAAATTAGGAAATTCAGTCCCATAGTAACCGATTTTCAACAGTGGGTTCATACGCCTTTTGTTTCCTCAGGATTCTAGAGCCAATATGCTCCATTAGTTTTAAATCAGGGTTTTACAACTCCCCTACATGGATCCTCCGTATCCATCAACCCGGTTCAAGCGCCGGACATTCTGTTGGGGATGCTAGATCCACAGAAATCACTTGTTAAACACCTTGTCTTTGTAATTTTGTTTTGCAAATTCGAATTTCTCGTTTTTGCGCCAACAGCGCTCATTTTTACGGTCAGATTGTATTTCCTATTTTGAAAGATCCTTAAATGTCATCGATTCGTTGTCTCATTTATTACTCTATTTTGTGACGTTTTCCATGGGTCTTATTATATATATATACTCAGATTGTGTGGCTGATTTGTTCGGGGTTCTGGCTGCTTGTGAAATATACCTTTCTCTCGTCTTAACCTGTTCTTCCCCCTCTAGTTAGTAGGTCTGGGACTCATCGGAATAGTTGTGCTAGTCTCATCGCGGTGTTGCTGATCCTTCGTTCCATTCGCCGATCTCGTAATCTCTTCAAACATAGCTTATTTGCTTTTCGTTTTCTCAATTTCGTAAACAACACCCCTGCCGCAAGAAGGCAGTGAGTAAGACTTCCCTGATGATCGCTGTATACGCATGGCTATGTGGGGGCATTTGAAGAGGGTGAGCCGACTTTTCACACTATCGGTCGTACCAGGGCATTTGGGGGGTATTCCAACCAATTCAAGATACTGGGATCAAGAAGTCTGATTTCAGTGAAGTAACCACATAAGTTAGCAGTTCGTTAGTAACATCCAAAGGCGTGTCTGAGGATTGTCGGGTATTTTTGAGGGCATTTCATTTGGTTTGTGTCCTCGGCAGTGTCGACCAAACTGCTTTGTCTCTCAGCCCCAAATGCCCTGGTACGGCCGAGAGTGGGGAGAGTCCGCTCTCCCTCTCCAAATGCTCCCACATGGCCACGCGTAATAAGTCTCTGCCGGGTAAGTTCTACTCACTGCATTTTCGTGGTGGGGGTGTTGTTTACGAAATTGAGACTATTTATTTATTTATTTAAACACATAAATATTGGTACAAGGAAGCACCAGATACATATGCGCCATATAAATCTCATTCAATTTGCTTGAGGGCTGTGATACTGCCCAGGTGCCCAGACTGAAGCAGGTGGTTTTCTTAGGGGGCCACACCCGGAGCCTTTGACCGAAAGATCTGATCCACAAGGCAGTGGGGCATCGTAAGGAGATGCAGTCCCATGGTAGCCGGTGATCAACGGTTGATTCGTGCGCCATTTGTTCCCTCAGGAAACTGGAGCCCATGTACACCACTGGTTTGGAATCAGGGTTTTCCAACTCCCCTAGGTGAACTTTCCATGTTCACCAACCCGGTTAAAGCGCCCCCAAATGCTCTGGTACGGCCGAGAGTGGGGAGAGTCCGCCCTCCCTCTCGAAATGCTCTCACATGGCCAGCGAATTTATAGCCTCTGCCGGGGAAGTCCTACTCACTGCCTTCTCGTGGTGGGGGTGTTGTTTACGAAAGTGAGAGGACGAAAAGCGAATGTCCTGCGCTTTAACCGGGTTGGTGGACACGGTAAGTTTACCTAGGGGAGTTGAAAAACCCTGATTCCAAATCAATGGTGCAGATGGGCTCCAGTATCCTGATGGAATGAATGGCGGACGAACCTGTCATTGGTCACCGGCTACCATGGGACTGCATCTCCTTACGATGCTCCACTGCCTTGTGGATCAGATCTTTCGGTCAAAGGCTCGGGGTGTGGTCCCCTAAGAAAACCACCTGCTTCGGTTTGGGCACCTGTGCAGTATCACAGCTCACACACAAATAAATGAAATGATGAATTCTATTGATGATTCTATTCCTGCTCATACTAGAAGCAAGACAATTTACATTATTATTATTATTACCTTTATTATTATTATTATTATTATTATTATTATTATTATTATTATTATTATTATTTACCTTATTGCTAACTCACCCCCTTTTATCCCCAATTTGTGTAACCTTACTTTTCAACTTATGCAGCAGCTCGCCCATGGTGGAAAATCTGTCCTATCTAAACGATCTCCAGTCACTGTCTGGTTGAAAGTGAATGCTTCCACCGACTATGAATACTGAAGCAGTCTTTCTGAAACCACGTACGCCGTTCAAGCTGGCTTCCTTCAACGTTCGCACACTAATGCATATCAGACAACAGATGAGGCTGGCTATGTCTTTGGAAGGTCTTAATGTTGATGTTTGTTGTCTATCCGGGACCCGTATTCAAGACTCTAGTGAAGTACTACAAATCCGCTCTCCATCTGTCGCCTCGAAAAGCTTGTTCCACGTGCGCTTATCCGGGGACCCTGTGGCATCTTCTTCTGGTCTTGCTGGCGTTGGTGTCGCACTAAGCGCTAGGGCTGAGGCAGCACTAATCGATTGGATCCACATTAACAGTCGGTTATGTGCTGTTAGATTAGAAAGTTCCATCAAAGTGAGAAGAAATCGGCGTGAGAAACGGTGTCTTTTCGTCATCTCCGCCTATGCCCGGACAGATTGCAGCCCGGATGCAATCAAGGATGAGTTTTACCATCAGTTAACAGTTCTTCTCCAGAAAGCGCGTTCGACAGATATTGTAGTACTAGCTGGAGACTTGAATGCACAGGTCGGGCGTCTAGACACAGAAGAGAGTCGTTTAGGTGGCCGATGGGGACTTGTTGGTCGCAGGACAGATAACGGGGACCGTTTGTTGCAACTGTGCACAGACCACAACCTGTTTCTGGCCAGCACTAACTTCCGGCACAGTCATCGCCGGTGTGCCACCTGGCGTCCTCCCTCTGCATCCCAAGCCTGGACTCAGATTGATCACATCGCGATCAGCTACCGCTGGCGTGGTTGTGTACAAGACTGCCGCTCCTTTTGGAGTACTTATCTGGAGTCTGATCATGCCCTGGTCTGCGCCAATCTCACCTTACTTTTCAGTGGCCGAAGGATTGACCACCACCAACGGATCGATGTTAGTAAACTGGCTGCAACTTCTGTTGCAAGTAAGTATCGAGCGGAGCTAGCCTCTAGGCTAGCTACCACCCCACCGAAAAGTATAGATGAGCATTGGTTGCATCTTCACGACTCCATGAAAATGGCGAGTAAAGCCGCTTGCGGCTTCGCGAAACGTCCCGCTTACAAGCACTGGGTTTCTTCTGGCTCCTTACAACTGATGGAAGCCCGTCGGTCTACTCCGGGTGACCGTGAGTTTGACCACAAACGAAGGCTGTTACGTAATGAAATCGGGCAAAGCTTGCGTAAGGACCGGGAAGCCTGGTGGTCGGAGCGTGCTAATGAGATGGAAGCAGCAGCTGCATCTGGTAACTGCCGGAAGCTCTTCCAACTCATCCGAGCCACTGGCAGCAAGAAGTCTGGTATGAGTGAAACAATCTACGAGGATGATGGGATACCAATCACTAACATCTGTCGACGTCTCGGACGATGGGCGGAATTCTTCGAAGGGCAGTTCAACTGGCCTGCTGCTCCGGCAACATCAACCAGTTTGTCCTGCCCCCCATGGCCGGTGACGACTGATCCATCAAACGAGGCGGAAGTCCGCAAGGAACTCCAACTCTTGAAACGTTACAAACCATCGGGCCCAGATGACTTATCTCCGGCTCTTTTTAAAGATGGTGGTGACCTTCTGACTAAGGAATTGACTGTGTTGTTTGGAAAGTTTTGGGAGGAAGAAAGTGTTCGAACACCATGGAATGAGTCGATAGTCGTCCCTATCTTTAAAAAGGGTTCACGTTGTTCCTGCAATAACTACCGGGGGATAAGTCTACTTTCGATTGCGTCCAAACTATTGGCTTCTATCATTCTTCGTAGGTTGTTTAAAACCCGAGAACGATTGACTCGCGAGGAGCAGGCTGGTTTTCGTTCTGGTAGAGGATGCATTGATCACATCTTCACCCTCCGCCAAATGTTAGAACACCGTCATACTTATCGCAGGTCAACAATCGTAGTGTTTCTTGATATCAGGGCGGCCTTCGATTCGTTGGACAGGACTGTTCTCTGGGATTGTCTATTGAAGAAGGGTGTGCCTGAGAAGTTCATTAACATCTTAAAGGCCCTGTATACGAACACCTCAGGTAGAGTGAGGGCATATAACCACCTTTCTCCCTTGTTCCATTCGAGCAGTGGGGTTAGGCAGGGTTGCCCGATCTCACCATTTCTCTTCAACTTTGCCATCGACGACATCTTGGAAACAGCTCTGATGGATGTAAGTAATGGCGGTGTGGATATGTTGCCTGGAGAACGACTTCTCGACCTCGAGTATGCGGATCATATTGTCTTACTGTGCGATAATGCCCAAGGCATGCAATCCGTACTTAATCAGTTGGCAATCAGTGTCCGCAGGTACGGTATGTGCTTTGCACCCTCCAAGTGCAAGGTACTTCTACAAGACTGGCAGGATTCTCATCCTATACTCGCCCTGGATGGTGAGCAGATTGAAGTAGTTGAGAAGTTCGTGTATCTAGGTAGCTACATAAGTGCTGGTGATGGCGTGAGTGATGAGATTGATGCACGTATAATGAAAGCCAGAGGGGCTTATGCCAATCTGGGCCATCTTTGGCGCCTTCGTGATGTTAGTCTGGCTGTAAAAGGTCGGATCTACAACGCGTCGGTGAGAGCAGTTTTGCTCTATGCTTGTGAAACCTGGCCTCTCCGAGTTGAGGATGTTAGACGTCTCTCTGTGTTCGATCATCGTTGTCTCCGAAGGATTGCTGACATCCAGTGGCAACACCATGTTAGTAATGCAGAGGTTCGGCATCGTGTGTTCGGGCGCAGAGACGATAATTCAATTGGTGTCACCATCTTGAAACACCGACTTCGGTGGCTTGGACATGTTTTACGAATGTCGTCCCAGAGACTTCCACGTCGTGCATTATTTGCCGACCCTGGGACTGGTTGGAAAAAGCGGAGAGGAGGTCAGTGTATGACATGGTGTCGTGGCATGAAAGAGAGCTGCAAAGGGCTAGCTTCTGTTGGTCCTTCACGACTCCTTGGTTGGAGTCCGAGAGATGGTGCAACACAGTGGCTAGAGACGTTATCAGATATGGCTCAGAATAGAAACCAGTGGCGATCCTGCTGCAACCTTCTTTTACTTTCTACATAAAGTTTGGTTCTTACTTTCCTATTTGAAAGAGTCTTCTGGTTGTACATTTTAGTCCGCCTTATCTTTTCATCCCTTCTCTTCCTACTTTCATAATTTTGTGTGGCGCATATGTACCTGGTGCCCTTTTGTACCAATATATATGTGTTTAAATAAATAAATAAAATAAAAAGCGCCGGACATTCGCTTTTCGTCGTCTCAATTTCGTAAACAACACCCCCACCACGAGAAGGCAGTGAGTAGGACTTCCCCGTTAGAGGCTATAAATTCGCTGGCCATGTGAGAGCATTTCGAGAGGGAGAGCGGACTCTCCCCACCCTCGGCCGTACCAGGGCATTTGGGGGCCGAAATTGAGACGATGAAAAGCGAATATCCGGCGCTTTAACCGTGTTGGTGGATATAGAGGATACACCTAGGGGAGTTGAAAAACCCTGATTCCAAATCAATGGTGCACATGCGCTCCAGTATCCTGAAGGAACAAATGGCGTATGAATCAATCGTTGGTCACCGGCTACCATGGGACTGCATCTCCTTACGATGCTCCACTGCCTTGTGGATCAGACCTTTAGGTCAAAGGCTCCGGGTGTGCCCCCTAAGAAAACCACCTGCTTCGGTTTGGACACCTGTGCAGTAACACAGCTCGTACACAAATCGAATGAGATTTGTATGGCGCATATGTATCTGGTGCTTCCTTGTACCAATATTTATTTGTCTAAATAAATAAATTTGTCCGTCAGCCAGTGACTATCAATATGTCTAAGTTAACAACGCGGAAGCTTGTAAGAAACCCTAGCTTTTAAGGCTCTAAGTTTTAATTTAAATCAAGAGGTCAACATAATCCTAACAAAAATATTCGTTCATAAATCGACAACATCTTCAACACATTGTTTCTATTGTATCTGTTGGCGACTTATATGACACCAGGCCATATATGCACAAAGTACATGATTCGTGTGGTCACTCGCTTACAGTTAAAGTTTTTCCTTATTCTGTGCCGTTTGTTAATTTGGTATAAGTACTTACAATTTCTTTGCCACATTTTTGTACAATATAAATTTCATTTGAAAATTCTTAACGTGAACTAATCTTTGGTTGTCTAAAAGTATTTCATACACATACTATCATCTGTTTTATCTACTAATCTTTTCTTATAGTCATCAAGGACCTGTTTGGAGTTTAAGTTGGTCACATCCTATGTATGGGAGTTTACTGGCCTCTTGCGGTTATGATCGTAAGGTGATTATCTGGCAAGAAATCAATGGACGATGGGGAAAAATCTTTGAATATTCTGAACATGCTAGTTCAGGTTAGATATAACCACAATATTTCGGAAGTATGCTTGATCATGTACCAGTATGAATTGACTAGTGTCACAACTGTAGTATATTTTAAGCCACCAGTCAGTTGAAAATCCTGTGTTTTCAATTGTTTAAGCAAGAACTGTCCCTCATACAAGTCTATGAAGACCGATGGTTTGGAAAGGTGGTTCAAAATACTTTTTCATAAATATAATCCCACGTGTTTGCCGTTACTCCTTTTGAACCGAGTCAACTTTTTCTATCTGTGTATAAGAGGTAGTTAATGATCTCGAAGGTCCCAAAAATAACACAGTCACAGGTGTTTTATCTAAAAACTTTCTTGATGGAATGTCAAGGCTGATTTTTTGTACATAACACAGCCCTCGTCATATTTTGGATAGCACGAGTGTACATAATTTCTCTTATTAACTTGGTCATATACATTCCAATCACTTTCTTTCAATTATTTGTTGAATTCAAGATTACGCACCATCTACGGTATTTCGGAAACTATGTGTCACTTTATAATTGTCCTTTTTAGAGTTCTCTTACAAATTAAATCTGATTAATCACTACAAAACTCAAAGTCAACACTTACAATATTATGTTTAAAGTTGCTTTGTAGTAATTTAGTCTTATGTTGGTAGCGCCGCACAAGCCACACTTGCTTTTAAGATGTTGGGGAAGATTTGTAGCTCAGGTGGATGATTTTGATGGAGTTTTGTTCTCTGAGCTGGATGGTCTGGTCTTGGAGCTTTCATCGTTCTTCTGAACGACATCGTCAGCACACACTTTGAACGTAATTCTAAGGTATTTCATTAACTTCATGACATTTGCAATTGGTTAGCTATACAGCTCTTAGTTTTTTCTTCTGAGTAATCCACTGTTTGTTTTCTATTTAATAGTCAATTGCGTTTGTTGGGCTCCTCATTCTTATGGACTAATGCTAGCATGTGCCAGTTCAGACGGGACAATTTCCATCCTTATATCAGACGAAACGAACTCTTGGCGTGCCTTTCGAATCCCAGAGGCACACTCCGTAAGTGGTAATATCAGTTGTGTAGTTTCATGACCCCTTAGATTTTTTACCAAATCGACCCCGTCATTGTTTAAAAAACATAAGTTGAACGTTAATATTAAAAAGCCATCTATATTACTTTTCGGAAACTTAACAAGCTACTAACAAACATATTAGTAGTACAAAAATGAATTATGTTCTAAGAGTGAATTTGTACTCCGTAATAAGAGTAGGAAATTATTTGGAAAACAGTTTCACCGTTGAAGTGGTATGAAAATGTAAATCACTTAACTCAAAAAATGAGTAATATTCTAATGCAGGTCTATTATATCAGTCAAACAGCGTTTTCGATCTCTGCTTTTTATTTCACAGTTCTGCCTATAGGTCAAATGATTTCTAGTTGACAAATGTCAAGTAGTGATTTAGTTTTTTCACACAAAATATTATGTATATAAACGATTCGTTTAAGGGAATATTATTGGATTCTAAGCCAGTCTACGGTACATTATGTTTTGGCAAGAGTAATCTCAAAAATACTCTCGAAACTGTAAATACATTTTTTATAGATATCTCCCCACCTACTATTTTAATATCTCTTGATGTAAACATATAATTTTCACCATGATCCAGTATGTAAGAAACGAATTCTAGCTTATTTGGGACACCATTATAATTATTATAGTTGGAAGTGAAAGCTTCCTCCATAGTTGACAAATAATTTTTCCGTCACGTAAAATCGTTTTTATATGTTAAAACATTTAGTAATGTAGCTGAATTTCTGGTGAGATTTAATTCCTGACCAATTCACTCATTTTTCATGTTACTACTAACACTAGTATTCTACAGATTTTTAATTCAAACTGATTTAGTTACCTGTAATCGCTACATTAATTAGTTTAACTGCTCTGTAGCTACCCTCCAGTTGCCACTTGGAACAAACGACCTGTATGGGATGTCATATCATCTCCTCGACTCAGTAAAATAAAAATAACCATAGCTAATCTAAAGCGAGAGAGGGCAGAAGACTATGTTGAATTAACCCATGAAATCTGGAGGAATAGTGGTTCAGTTTTTAGCTGTTAGATTGGCTACGATATTAGCTAGAATCTGGGAACGGAACGCAACTCTTTTCCACTGGTTTAGATCGTTAATTGTTTCAGTCTGTAAGAAAAAACAAAATTTCACTCGTTAAAAATACGGACGCATCAGTTTGACTGACAGTATCTATAATATTAGCTTCAATCATCATCCAACGCCTAACTGAAGCTCGTGAAAAACAAACCCGAGAAATACGGGCTGTTTGAAGACCTGAGCGTGGATGTGTTGACTAAATATTTACCATTCATCAGGTTCTGAAATGTAAACTTACCTACTGACTCCCAACCACTATCGTATTTCTCGAATTTAAGGCAGGGTTAGAATCAGTAGGTCGACAGGTTTTGTGCCAACGTCCGTCATCGAAAGGCATCAAAGAAGTACATTAACTTTATACAGACTTTCTGTTTGAACACCACTGCTCGAGTCAGAATTTTTAGCGAGCTGTCACGGGAGTTCATAACTTCAAGTAGTATTCGTCAGGGTTGTTCTCGTCCTTTATTTTTTATCCAACTTTGTCATAGACATTCTTTTAGGGATAACGCTCACACTGTTTGACTTATCAGGAATCGATCTTCTACCACGATATTCTCTTTCTGGCTTTGAATACCTAGGTTATATAGCTCTATTTGGCGAAGGCTGAAAAATATCGAGTTTTCTGGTAGCCTTAAGCAACGATGTTAGCATGTTTAGATTACGTTTCCCTTCCCATCTCATCTAAATTCAAAATGCTGCTTCAGAACTGATTTGTATCAACTCCTGAACTAATGACAGGGGGGTGATTTAGTTGAGCGCATCGATCACTTAACCTCTCTGGGAAGTCTTGTCAGTCCTAGTAGGTTGGTGCCTGACAAAATCTTGCTACAAATTCGGAAAAATTAATGGGTGTTCGACAACTGTCACTCGTGCTATGATGGAGATATCTGTCCACTGATCGAATAACGAGTTTATTATGTAGAAGTTCGCTCCATTCTACTTTATGGGTGTGAGAAATGGCCTCTAAAAGTAGAGGATATTCGTAAGCTACTAGTATTCGATCATAGGTGTCTTCGAACCACTCATCGTACATTTTGAGACCATCGAATTAGAAATTTTAAGTTTAGAGTCAGAGTATTAGGTAATTATGGTACATCTACTGAGATGGTTAAAAAACATATTACATTTTCCTTCCGATCGACTACTTTGACGCGCAATGATAGTTCGTATAGGAGTAGATTGGAAGAAAGTTAGGAGTAGTCAAATCAAAACATGGTATCAGTTCCTCAAGAAAATGACTACTGGACCGAGCCATGTAGGCTAGTAACAACCACCTTGTTGGGGTCCGCGTGATTTTCACAACCAATTGAGCATATGCATCCACTTTGTCTTCCTTTAGATTTAAAGTTCCTGAATTTCTTGTAGATTTTTATTCCACTAATTTGTGATTTTTGGAATTGCATTTTGCATGCTTAATCTTTTCCATTACTACCAATGTCACTACATTTACTGTTGTGGGATTTGTCAAACAAATTTTTCAATTTGAACTGATGTACACATGTTCCAGGTTTTACCTTGTGTATAACTAACTACACTACATTGATTAGTACTTATTCATCAAGTTTGTAGTCATATAAAAAGTATCCATACCTTCAAATCGGTTTTATGACAAATACCTAGTAAATCTTCTTGTATCCTTATCAAACAAGCATTATAAATCAAGTTATTTTTCTATTGTTTAAGGTTGGTGTTAATAGCGTGTCTTGGGCACCCTCCATAAATGCTGAATTTATATTCAATCCGACGTTGGCAACAACAACATCAACAAATACTATGATTCCGCCTATCAAAAGACTAGTTTCTGGTGGGTGTGATTCTTTGATTAAAATATGGCGGTAAGCTTTTCATTTATTGTCACTTTCTTGTTTTTCTTTTCAATATTTTCCAAATCATTACTAGTGTAATTGTTAATTAGTTCTTTACTAAGCTGTTCCATGCAAATCAGTATTGATGTTCAGTTTTATATCCCCCCAAATGCCCTGGTACGGCCGAGAGTGGGGAGAGTCACCTCTCCATCTCGAAATATTCTCATATGGCCAGCGAATATATAGCCTCTGCCAGGGAAGTCCTACTCACTGCCTTCTCGTGGTGGGGGTGTTGCTTACGGAAGTGAGAGGACGAAAAGCGAATGTCCTGCGCTTTAACCGGGTTGGTGGACACGGAGGGTCCACCTAGGGGAGTTGGAAAACCCTGATTCCAAACCAATGGTGCACATGGGCTCCAGTATCCTGATGGAACGAATGGCGGAAGAACCTGTCATTGGTCAACGACTACCATGGGACTGCATCTCCTCACGATGCTCCACTGCCTTGTGGATCAGACATTCAGGTCATAGGCTCCGGGTGTGGCCCCCTAAGAAAACCACCTGCTTCAGTTTTGGGCACCTGTGCAGTATCACAGCCTTCACACAAATCGAATGAGATTTGTGAGGCGCATATTTGTCTGGTGCTTCATTGTACCAATATTTATGTGTTTCAATAAACAATAATAAAATTTTAAAACTACTTCGCACTCCACTATACAGTTTATTAAATTAAGTCATTCTCAAATAGTTCAGCTTGTAATTTTGTTCAATTTATGTACGCTTCAAAGGTAATATTATTTTAACAGTAGAGAATGCGCTTACACTGTATCTTTGTAGTCAAATGGTATTATCATTAAATAATGTTTGACTTACTTTTTAAACTAGAGTGTTGTTTGTTTGGAGAAGTTTGTGGCAATGGTGGAATTTTCTTAGCTTAAATCACGGTCTGATCTTCGACCACCGTTGAAAACCTGGGAACACTACAAGATCGCTTCGTTCCGGTAAGGAACTCATCACCGGTGCGTGTTCGGGAAGCAAACTTAGGTTTTGTATTAATCGGTTAGTCGCAAACTAGGTAAATAGTAAAGAACGAATAAAAAAGTATAAAACTGTAGGAAACATCTAAGATTCATAAGTACTTATCGGTCCTGCTTTCGGCCTAGCCCAGCCAGATAAGTTCAGAACACCGATCTTAGCCTCTGTGGTATGAATCATTTATTTCAAACATACTGGGTTCATATACCAACCAGACAAACCACATCGCACCATAAAATAGGAAACAAGACTTAGCCAAATGTGGCTGTGAATAAGGAAGATAGTAATTGATAGCCAGAGCATAACTCAAGAATGGTAAATCGTACAACAATAGTTCATAGGTCAAAATAAAGCTCACAATAAGAGGAATATGAATATGAATAGTTTAGTTATTTAACAATTATGCGATAAAAATAAACACAGTATTGGTCCATGAATGGATCCCAAAAGTTACCATTCATTATTCTTATCGGGATATAACAACTAGAAACTCAGTTGTTTTAATGTGTAGGTCATTTGTTATTTTACTTCCGTTGTTTTGCCTTCTCTTTTCATTTTTACCTGAAATAACTGTGACCTAGCACAATTTTTGTACAGTGACAGTGGTGGTGTCAGTGTTGACGATTATGATGGTAGTTTGTTTAACCCGTAACTGCACACGAGACCAAGTTGTTTAACCCAGATTGAGTGGAATTTCTCGTCTAAAATCGGAGTCAGCCTAATCTAATTAAAGTACAGAAAAAAAAGAAATCATTCATAAGATATTTAGTCGCTAAGGCATTTAGAATGTCTACCTATTCACCTTCACTCATATACACCTACTTAGTCATCGTAGTTAGCATTGTTTATCATTTTATTGTTTTCCGCTATACCTATGTATATCAATATGCCAGTTTTGTGATGTGTTTTTTTTAATGTTCACCTGAGTTATTCAAGTGCATCAGTCTATTCATTGTAAATCATTCACTCACCAACCCTGTCTTTTCAATGTTGTGATGTCTTAAAATGTTTGTAAGTTAATCTCGCGAATGTAATTATTAGGAAAATAATTTTTGTTATTATATTGACTTGCTGGTGTAAATGAAAATAATAATAAATTGGTGGGGGAAAAGAAGTTTGTATTTTTGTTGGTCTAGCTTTAACCTAAGCTGAATGTGTTATCATTTTAAGGTTTGTGTGACTAGAAACAACACGTATTTAGTAAGACTGATAGATTAACATCTTACAACAACATGGCAAATGAACACAATCTTCAAACTAACCGCATAAACTATAATCCCAAATATTAGCAGTTATCATTGTGCTTGCAATCGAATCAAAATGCCAAATAACTTTATCCAGACAAGATAGTGAGAAATAAACTCATATAAAATGCTAACATATTGATTGACAACATTATGAAACAATATTAGACCATTAACTGACTCCTGGTCTGAGTTGTGTGTTAAAGTGCAGACTTTTTATTTAACTTTCGCTCAATGAATATGATTAGTGATTAGGGGAACGTTAGACGACAATTACAGTCGTTCAGATCTATTTATGCTTCATCTCACAGCTTTTCAGTATGCAATATTATTTATCCAGTGAATCCTTTCTTTCTTCTTGATCCATATTCTGTGTGTTGAGTTACTATTACTGACACTATCGTTAAATTTGATCTTGGTCAATCTGGCTTCCATGAACTCATCTCCAGAAAATATATCATCGAGTAACAAACATTTTAGATTTTGAAACCATATGAAGTTAACCTAACTTGCAAATTAAGATGCTTCATACTTTTCTGTTGTTAGAGGTGTAGGGATCGTTGTCACTTCACTGATGCGTACACCGTGAATGAATATTTCTTCTCAAGAAGTATTAAAATATAAATCAATTAGTAGTCGCAGTCCTGTCAACACTGGAGCGTAACTTTACAACCTAAGAGACATCTACTTGTGCCTGGTCACAAAGTCAGTCAGTCATCTACAATGTAGGACCAGATACTTATATGCATCAGTCTAAGTTACCATACCTCATTAACACAACAAAATCAACACCAAATTCATAGAAGTAGTTACTTCAATAGTAGTAATATATATAAAGATTGGTTACAAGTATATGATACAGGAAGAAAGAATTAGCTCATAGAAAGAAAGTGATAAAGTAATTTTAATCTCACCGTTTAAGGGAAAACAAAGAGTGTATACACCGTACGCTACTGTGATCGATTCCGAGTCATGTCATCCAGAGTCTCCAACCACCAGTTACGATAGTCGCGCAGACCCCAACCAAGTAGTCTGTAACTGCGAACATGGCTCAGACCAGAAGTTAATGACTTTATGGTCTGATGCCATGTTTTTAGTTTGGCCGCCCCTAACCTTCTTCCATCCGTCTCCAACGCTATTCAGCATTGCTTTTGGTCACTTAAATTTTTGCAATTAGTTTGTGATGTATTATTTTCGTACTCTCCAGACTTTACAGGCGACATCAGAAAGCTGTGTGGCAATGTGAGATGTGCTAGTTGCAGGATCGACCCCTTCTAACCTTCCTTTCATTGTGAGAAGGTGGTATTACTGCAGATCCTTGTTATCTGTGAGGAATACCGTTCTTACCACTATAACTCACCATAGTCAGTAGTATGATTTTACCCTCAGACCCTAGATTTTTACACAGGACCTGTTAATCAAAACTAACTATTGAAACAAAACAGTGTTTTGAAAAAAAGTGAGGATCCTTATTTTCTGTAGAATATAAATATTTGGTGTTCACTCAATCAGACATTAACAAAATAAATGCAACAAGATGCAATGTTAAAAACTTTGTCGTTGCTGCTACCTTGACGTGGTGGTCGGGCTTGCCTATCGTGATGAATCAATCGAGCTATACTGGCTGGAACAATCGTTCCTCGAGGTCCTACCATACCAGACAGGTCGGTTGAAGAGCGGTAAGACTAAAAGCAGCAATCCCAAGGTCCGAAGGCGAAGTCGTACTGCCGACTGTACAGAGGTGTGACAGCAGTAAGGTGTTTCCTTCAGACAACCAGCATGACAGCGATGCTGCCTTCCCACAGGGAGGGGTGGGGTTAGAAAAGATCAACTCTAAGATTGAACACCTCGCCTTATCCCACGGATTTCCGTCTCCGGCGGTAAGGTTCTTTGAAGAACGGAGCTAACACGTCAAAAATCCCCTACAAAAAGGCCGTGCGTGACCGGCCTCAAGCAGTTGTCCCTTGGGCACTGCGGTCACGCTCCCAGGTCGTTAAGACCAACACTAATCCAACTTCTTTTTCAGGTCGCTCAAGAAATACCCTTCCACGGTGTGGGCAGCCGGGAAGTGATACTAGCCCTCATACCCGTAACAGCACACGAGACCAAGTTGGTCACTTTCAAATCCTTCCTACTCCTAATAACTCTCTTACCTCCACGACTAACCCTTCCCACGTCCTTTTATCACCTCGCACCGCTAGGGCAAACGATTCAAGTACACGGAACGTTATTCTTGGTCTCCTGAAACCACGCTCTAAACTACATATAGAGACTTTTAATGTCCGAACATTGTGCCAAATAGGACAACAGGCTTCCTTAGCTAAGACTTCAGAATCTTACACCATCGATGTGTGCTGCGTCTCCGAAACGCGCATACAAGATCCGAGTAGCGTCATTCATTTGACCTCACCTAATCAAAATAAAGAACCATCTCGATACACGCTTCGTGTATCTGGAAGCCCTGATGCTGCTTCCCGTGGCCTCGCTGGAGTAGGTATAGCATTAAGTCCTAGGGCAGAACTGACTCTTTTAGACTGGATCCCAGTAGACAGTCGTCTATGCGCTGTCCGACTAAACGGATCAGTAAGGACTCGGAAAGATAGGGAAACTCGTCGTTGCCTCTTCGTCGTCTCTGCCTACTCTCCCACTGACTGCAGCTCAGACGATATAAAAGATGAGTTCTACAGGAAACTTTCTGACCTTCTCCAAAAAGCTAGGCGTTCTGATGTAGTGATAGTGGCTGGTGACTTTA